CTCGCTCCCGCGCTGCCCTCGTCACCGCGGCCTGCCGAAAGAGGAATTTATTTTTTTCCTTTTCCCTCCTCGCTTTCGTGGAGCAGTGTATCATAATTCTTGCCAGCCAACAATTACGTTTTTCTGCTCATTTTCTTAAGAAACATCAACTATTGCTCTTAAGTGCAAGGTTCCTCCAAGCCTGCAATAGCAGCTCACACTCAGGCAGGTTAAGAGGAGCAAATTATAAATGTGCAAGCCACGCACAGGAAAAAGAAGGAAAAAAAGAAATCACTGCTCCCCTGCACGACAGCACGTTACTTTTAAGCAGGCTTGCTCTGCATTTGGCCATACTAGCGGACAATTAAGTCTAAATAAAGATACCTTATCTTCAGCATTTTCGATATCTGTGGTGTCATCCCCTGTCAGAGATGACCTCCTTCTCCTCTCCTGCAGTGCCAAGTGTTTTGTTTTACACTGACGTTTCCCTGATGGCTTCTCACACTCAGCGTATTTCTGCAGAGATGCAGGTTGGAAATCCTCCTCTTCATCTGTGTACAGCCCATCTGTCTTCCGGCTTTCTTTAATTTTCTGCTGTTTGGCAGCCAACCTCGAGGCTGGAGTACAGCTTGGCTGAGCCTGCCTTTTGCTGTTTGCATTGGTGGATGAAAGGCTCTTCATGTGCGGAGACACTGGGAATACAGGCAAGCCTAAATAGGAAGGAAAGGCATTACACGTTGCATGGTGTGTTAAAAGGAAAACATATTGCTAGCACTTAACACGAGCTCCTCGCCTGCTTAAGAGACCTACCAATTACACTTTCAATTCATTAATATTTTAAGTGTTCCCGAACTCAAATTGTAAAGAGCATCTTGCAAGTTAAAATAAGTTAATAGTTGTAACAGTCCTGATAAAAATAAAACCCAAAGTCTCTAACAGCTGCTCTCTGCGCACGGTGCCTGGTTATTGCACGAGCGGCGTGGGAAGCCACAACCCCATCTCCTCCCTCCAGGAAAATGCGCTTCCTTACCTGGAACTGCCTTATCTGAATGGGAACCAACTTCTCCCTCATCCTGGGCCCTACTGGGCTTTGCTGCCTTTTCCAGGTTCAAGTTCAGGGCGGATACGTGAAGGGCAAGGGAAGGAAGAAAAAGAGGAAGAAAGAGTAGCATGGAAGAGGTCTTCATGGGACAGCATGGAGGGGTTTTGTGCTGAGCGCTTAAATTATCAGTAAAGTATGCCACCTTTCTGTGGCATTTCACTTAAGAAAAAGAAAACAAAAGCTACGCAAGGAGCCATTGCTAAAGAAGCCCTGTGCAAACTCCCTACCAAGAGGTACAGGTATTTCGCAGCAAAAGCAAGTGGCTACGTTTCCCTTGAGCAGATGCGCTGCGAGGCTGCAGGGCAGCGAGAAGGCGCCGACGGAAAAGACTGGAGCTTTGCGGCCCTCCGCAGAGCGCTCATGGGATGAGGATTTTACCACAGCTCCCTCCCGTGCAAGCTGAGTCTCTCCATCTGGGCCACACACAAACAGCGTGGTTATTCATCTATTTGTTGTTGTATGTATTTATTTTTTCAGAGTGCAAGTAGGTTTGCAACAAAACAAGAACAAAGAAAGTTGACTTTTCTACAGTGAGGATTTCCCCAGGCGGAGAATTGAAGCGGCCTCAGAACCAAGTCCTTTGGAGAAAATAAATGAATTAAAGGTTGCTGGAAAGGACGGGGCACCTCAGCCAGACGGTACCATATCAGGGAGGGAAGGTGCAGACAAACCCAGAGTGCTGGGGAAAGGGCTCCTTTGCTCTGCGCAGCCTCTGAAGTGATGCTCAAACAGAGGAGGCGGCAGCAGCGATGGCAGCACATGGCTGCCCTGCCTTAATGCAAGAAAGGCGATCAAAAGTTGGCTGGCATAAAATAAAAGCTAAACTAAAATAAAAATCTGGAAACTTGTTAGTGGGTAGCTTCTCACCTATGTTTCCTCTCCAACAGGCCTGGGATCACGGCCCTCAAAAGGTTTTCTAGATTAAAGATGACAACAGAAAACCCTCCAGAGCTCTTCAGAACCACCTTCTAGAAAGAGATGTGTAACACGGCTTGCCAACCAGATGTCAGCAAATTTATGGGACATATGATGTGCAGACTGTTCAGCCAGAATCCAGTCCCTTTGGTTTCCAGGCGCTGTAATCAGGAAGAAAAGCCTTCTCGCTGCAGCCTGAACCTCCTAGTGCAAGGTTGTCTTTCCAACCCCGCAAACAGCATGAAATAACAAGAGCGTTTCTAATTCTCCTGTTTCCAACTAACCTAATTGGAGTAGCACATAAAAAGCCCTATTCCAATACAGAAGTATCATCATTAGCTCCTTAATCGCTTACAAAAAAAAACTTGTGAAGATGGAAAGCAGCAGCAGTGAAGTCTGGTGAGTGCGAAGGGAGGGCAGAAAAAAGCACCGCGCGGAGGAAAACGAGAAGGGAGACCTAACAGGTCTGGGGAAGGTCAAAAATACAGAAAGACTGGGAGGAGGGATAAAAAACTGTAGGAAGAGATGGGGATCTCGGCGAGCTGCAGGCTTTCCTCATCAGGGATGCCCAAGGAGACGATAAAAAAGTTTAATGGCTGCAGGAAAGGTGGCTCCCGGGCTGCAAGCTCCACGCTGCGCTCCGAGCCTCGGCGGCACCCTCCCCGCAAGCAGCAGCGAGCTG